TGGCGCTGGCGCTGGTGCTGGTGCTGATGTGATGGTGATGGTGATGGTGATGGTGATGTTGACGTGATGGTGATTGTGATGTCGACGGCGATGACGGTGATTATGATGATGAACATTTGGCGATTATGATGGTATTGACAGCCAAGGTCACTGCGGGTGTGATGCTCGGGCTGGCCGTGGTTTCCAAGGGCTAAAGCTAAAAGCTATAATTTTGATGTAATCATTACTGCTTCTCTTTGTTCTGATGTTTTTACAAGTCTGGTTGTTTCTTTTTGTGGTCCGGTCGTGATAATCTGGTCAGGGTCCGGTGAGTGGTCCGGTCCGGTCGGCGCTCGGTGTGGTTCCGTCGGTGTTCGGATCGGTGGTCGGTGGTCCGGAGGGTCCTCCGGTGGGTGGTGTGGTGAGCTTTGTAGTTGTGTCGGTAGTCTTGCTACTGTCGGTGGTCTTGTTACTGGTCGGTTGGGTGGTCCTGTCGCCCTGTCAGGTGGCAGGTCGGTGATCTGGTGTGATCTGGTGGTGGTCGCTGTGGTTCGGTCAGCTTGGTCTGATTGTGATGAGTGTCGTGGTTTGGGCCGTCTGGTCGGTGCTGGCCGGTTGGTGGTGGTCCGCTGGGTGGCCCATAGCTTCCAGCAAATCCGATGCACACCGCACGCAGGAGCAAAAGACAAGGATGCATAGCTGTTGGGGAACCAAGCTGAATTTCTAGCTTTCGACCTCTTCCGCCTTCGGCTGGCTTGGAGGACAAGATCAAGTTTTCGGTTTTCTTCTTCCACACAACTTCAAGGCGGACCGATCCGATGCCGTATTCCCAGAAGCTGGGTGTTATGTGCTCCCCAAGCCAAGACATTACCAGCTCTGGCCTCCTCCGCCTCTGGGGTGCGGGCCAGGAAGGCAAACCTTCTGTGCGACACCTGGCCATCTCCACTCTCCAGGGCTCAAAGATCAAGATTTGCGAGCACAGCCTCCGTAGCCGGTGGCACAGGAATAGGTCACCGTGTTCTCAAACTGGTCGCGAGTCCTGAACACTGTGCAATGCATAGCACATCACCGGCGGGCACAATGCCTGATCAAAGAAGTTCTTAGATCCGCGCACATTGTATCCAGGCGGGATTGGGTTCGCTTCGGCACCTGGACACAAGACCGCTCGCATTGAGCTTCACGTTTCAGTCGCAACTTTCCTTCTGGACAAACGTCCAAGCAGCGGAAACTATGCTGCAACTCTTCTGCAAACGGGACCAGTTATCGGTCCCCTACTTTGCGAGCATGAAAGCCGTATGCTCAACCCCATTTTCTTTGCTCGGGGCATATAGAGTTGAGGGTCCAATAAGATTCACGACTTGGGATATAGGACGGCAATAGCAATACAGAGGGTTTTACTCAGGATTGAAGGCTCACTGCTAAAGTTCAAAGGTCCAAAGCAACCCTCGTCGTGAATTTCTGATGGCTGGAGCTAAATCATGTCGGAAAGGCATGCTGGAATCCTAGATTCCTGTAAGTGGGGGACCGGAATGCGCTGAGTTGAGGAGCCAAGAAGAGATGCTGGATGTGAAAGTCTTGGAGCCCTCCCTCAGTTCCTGTTACCAGGGCCTGCCTGCCGTTACGGGAACCGGCCGGTTGCTGTTACGGTCTTGGGCTCCGTTCCTGCTATGGGTTCCCCGTTACGGACAGCCTGTTGCGGTTACGGAATGTACTCCATAAACGGGCAATGTTGGTGGCATTGGTGGTGGTGGTCGCCGCAGTCGTCACGTGTGGCGGTTGCAGGGGTAGGAGTAACATCGTTCAGTCAGTAGAGGTGCTGGCGATGGATCAATGGAAGCAGTTGCGGCAGCAGCGGCTTCGGGGCAACCGCAACACCCAGAAAAATGATTTCTGAATTTTCAAGCCGTCTAAGTCTAAACCCTAGAGCAGGCTCTGACCCAGAGGAAAGGTCGCTGAGGCCCTGAGATCCGGGGCTCCCACAGCCACAGACGGGCAACACACCTTGCAACGGCATCTCAGGGTCCGCGTTAGCCACCGGACCTGAGAAGAAAAGGTCACGGTTGTGAAGCGATCTCGTGCCCGGGATGAGCAAACAAGGTGGAGTCTATCTGGGGGTTGCGGAGAGCCAAAGCAGGAGCTCAGGTCACATCGATTGGAGCGATTGGCTGAGGAAGCTGCAGGTGAAATCTGTCTGCGGCCCGATGTAAGGAGCCTCCATGAGCCCGAAAGAACGAGCAGAACCTCTCACTCCACTCATAGCAGCCGGCCTGGCAGCGGATGCTACACACCTTTCCTGGCTCCACCTTGGCGACTCTGATTTGAGAGAACCACGCCAATGCAATATCAAGACAGCTGTCTTCCAAGATACGGACATTCATGCAGCCCGAAGTGTCGTACCTGAGTCTTGCGCGCAGTATAAGGTGAGGGGAAACGGTGTCTGGAGATTTCTATGCTCCTTCCCCGACCCAGGGTAAAATGGTCAAATGTCCTGTCTGACACGGACATTGGCAGATTTCCAGTGCAGCATTCACGTAACCAGCATGGATGCCCAACCGCCAGACTTGACACCGTTGTGAGCGGCATTCAGACCGAAGCTATGGCTTTTCGCCCTCCGATCCATCCTGCTGCTGCACGTTTCTAGTAGTCCCCTGTAACTCCGGCAGCTGACTGAAGTTTCAGCCTTGACTTCCGTAACTGTACGCAGCCACATGGCAATGGCACCTCCTGAATGTGCTTTCGGCTTGAGTCCCGGCCATGTTTCTGATGATGCGACACTCTTGAGCAAGGATGCATCCTTCAGCTACCGTGGTCTTTTTGATATGTGGAGGCCAGAGAACTTGCTCTTTCTTGTCATGAGGAATTCCGACTTAAGTGACATCCTGCTCAGCACATAACACTCCAAACACAGGTTCAGAAAGTCGATTTAGCATTTCCGGGTCCAGCATACACAAGATACACAAGCATCACCAACACTCACGATTCTCATGTAATCTTCCTAGAGGCGTGCCACATTGTCCTGAGTTCCTGGCATGCAAGGTACGTCGCCCAGATCTGGCAGACGACAAGGTTGCTCCGGCACGCAGCCGGAGAGCACTGGGCTGGCTTCACAAGCATCCTGGTAGGGGTCAAACTTCCCCAGCTGCAGTATGTCGGCAATTCTCACAAACATCCGCCACCTCCGCCCATTGGCAGGTCTTTGTGGCCATGCCGGAATAGCCTGGGGCGCACCTTGGCGATGCTTGAAGCAGGCGGTCGGGAATTGTGCAGATATTGTGCTACATGAACAATCCGCACTTGCGCTACCAGTACCTATACAGGCCTATTCCCGAGACGCGTATGCACACTTGGAAGTCCTGTTCGTGCCGACATCATGTTGAAGAAGGTTCGTTCCGAACCCTCGTGAAGCAGTCTTGCAGTCTCTGAGAAGGTTCAGTCATGCCACTCCCAGACGTTCTCCACCTTCTGATAGCCACCGCCATCAGCCGGGTCGGCGCAAGTGTCTATCGTGCAGACAGGCGGTGACCAAACCTGAGCTTAGCAGCTGAGTATTGGATCGGAACCGATACTTCCGATCGACCATGTGCTGGATTCACCACACCCAAAAGCCGCCATCAGCAACGGCAAGACATATTGATTCCGTGGAGCCAAACCGTCGGTGGCGGTGTTGCCATCCAAACATGTTCCCGTGGTCTCCGTGCCAGCGAACGGAACCTGCATGCTGCAGCCATGTCGTCTATGCTTGATGGATGGTTGGGCGGGGCAAGGAAATGGTTGCTGCAGTATCGCACTGAGGCCTGACATCGAATCCGGCAGCTAGATCCGGGCTGGACGCTGACACAGCCGTACATGTCGTAGCCTCGCTTCATGCGCCAGGTCTGCATCGAGTTTTTTGAAGTGCTCAAGACAAAACATATGCAACCTGAGCTCCAGGCGACAGTCAGACTGCTCCGCTTGGCAAGGCACAAGCTGGGCACAGCCCTGCAGGACAGCCCTCACCTCAGAGGAGTCGCTGCACATCGCGCGCTCTGTGCCGTGCAGGGAAGAGACCCCTCGGGCATCGGAGGCCGAGGAGCCTCGCAGTTCTCCGTCATGTCACAAACCTCTGTAAAGCCAAGGCTTTGGCCAAGTCAAGGCTTTCACCCATGGATCATATAAAGGGCAGCTTTGAAAATCCTTCGAACCTGCCTTCTGGGCGAAGCCGGTGTAGCTTTGGGCACACTCCCACACGTCATTCACACCTTGGGTGCTTCCGAGCGACGTCTACAAGAAAATCCAACTCTTCCACGTCCTCGCTTGCATGTATCACGTCCGGAGCCCTCGACTATCGGTGACGGGTGGCGGCGAAAGCCCGCCGGGATAGTGCCAGGTTCATCACAGGTCTCCAAGATGCACGGCGGCCGCGTCCAAACCTTTGTGCCCAATGCCACGCTGCCATGAACAACAAAAGACAAGAAGACTACTCTCCTCGAACCGGGCAAACCTTTCTGCTTCGAGAGACCAATCCGTTGGGATTCGTGTTCCCTTGCGGGCAGTAAGCCTGCGGATGCCATTGAGAAGCCAGCTTCTGATCGCATGTATCCGAAGCAAAACTGAGATCACATTCATGGACAGACATGGCCACATCACTCTCTCGTCCATGCTTGTGCCGAATCTGCTCAGGGCCATTGCACCAGCAAAAAAAAACACATCTGCCCTCGACCCTCTGCTGTGCCCTGTGCTGCACTCAAGGCAATCTTAGGCTGTTGGGGGATCGTAGTCATGTGATCGTAGTCATGGTTCCTGGACTGTACAACCCACGACATCCCACGGCAGCGTCACAGCGATGTCACCAGCAGGATCAGTCCTCCGTCTTGGCCCCAGTGTAGGGGTTCTTGCAGTGAACCTGCAGCGCACAGGTCGGCACCTGTGTGGGCACGCAGGGTTTTTCTGGCCTCGCACTGCTCGCCAGGATCCACAGAGGTGCAAGCAGAGAAGTCCTCAGCAATCAGTTCTTGGTCAGATAAGCAAAGGCTGGACATGACCTGCTCTTTTAGGTGCATATGATGAATCTCCGTCGAGAGGCAAGTGCACAAAACTCCGTTCCAGTTACGGTGGGAGCCAAGCAGGGGACCACTGGCCTGCAGCCAGTCAGAGCCTCGGAGAAGCTCCCATCGAAAGAGCCAGGCGTCTCGGTAGATTCGAGCCGCAGCCCCAAACCCTAAGGGCCTTCTGAACTTTCAGCCGACACCTCTCGCCTTGAAGACTCTTGCAGCGGGCGGCTGCTGCAGCAGAGCAGTCTGAAGTCCACGTGTCCTGGTGGAAGACATGTCCAAAGTCTCCCACATTGGCACATCGTGCGAAAGGGAACAGAAGCCTCTACAGGAGCCGTCAATCCAAGTCTCACTTAACTCGCATCGATTGCGGGCAGTGCCGTTGTAGCCGTTGGCACACGTCCACTTGCCCTCAGGGGTCTTGTTGTAGCCTGGGCCGCATCTGACAAAGGTCCCGACCGCGTACTCCCAAACGCTGCCCTTCACAGATTGTTCGATCCATCACTAGGGCAGAGACCCATTGGCCAAGGAGATGGGTCTGGACAGGACTCGAGGAGACAGGTGAGAGGGAAATACTCCAACTCCAGGAGAGGATCTGTGTTGAGATCCTGGCAAGGTGCTGAAGCTGCAAAGTCAGAACTCGTGGAACACATCAGAGCACGTTGGGGCTTAGAGGGACCCTGGTGCTAGGATTGACCTATATGTTCAGACTACTCTCAGCTGCCCCCCAAGCTTGCCTTGCAGACTGCCACTGTGTGATTTCCAGTCAAGGGCCGCTGGCAATGAATCTGAGCGGCATGTTAATCAAATTGTGAAATCACATGCTCACATGCAGCAGCCATGCTCGCGACACGTCGCGATACACATAGGACTCTGTCATCTCTGAAAGCCTCAGCCCTGCACCTCACAGCTCCCTCCCGGAGGCACTTGGGTGCAGCGAGAAACGTCGAACCTGTGCCGTACCACGCGACACGAAGCCGAGCGAGACACTGTACAGAACGCGCCACAAAATGCGGCACTCGGCTTCAAGTAGCGCCTGCAATTGTCCACAGAGGGCATGGCGCACGGCACCAGCTTGTCACAACCGCGCAGAAACGTCTGCACTCCCAGGCAACCTTGCCAGCAGCAGACGTTGCCTCCCTCATCCTCCCCAACATCTGACTGTGACCCGCCTGGAAGTGGCTGGCAGACAATCTCCGGCATTCCGGCGAAGCCCTGTGCACAGTGCCAGTGCCCAGCACTGTCCTGCAGTGCGTCGAGTCTTCAACACTGGTCTGTTTTGGTCCTCCTATCCACGATCTCCATAAACACGACGGGCAAGCCCTGAACTGTTCAGTGAAACCTCCCTACACTATGAGAGTCGAGCTGTCCTTTGAATAGCCCTGCTGTGGTACTGGCTCTGGGCACGTGCAGGTGGGTTCTTCCCACACCAGCATCCTGTTCCTTGGTCAGCAGAAGGATCTGACGTCCAGAGGGCTTGCGGACGTACCGCTTGGCTCGATGGCCGCACACAACTCAAGAATGGCCAGGAATCGGGACGCTATTCCCGGCTGCGCAGACGCCCATGCTGGTGTTTCCCACACGTACGAAGGGCGCAGCACAGTCGATCTCGCAGGTTTGGCCAGGTCCCACATTTTCGCAGGTGGTGGTGTTAAACATGCACCTGCCAGGACGAATGTAAATCTTTCCCTCTCCGGTTCCCCGTGTAAGGAACTGCCGCTCCTCTTGACGGGGTCATCGATAGTGATGGCGGCACACGGCTGGCACATGGGCTTCCTCAGGCAAACGGGGTTCATTCAAAGAAGATGGATCGCTCACCGGAGCCAGCTGGCGCTGATTTACGACTGGCGAATCCAGAGATCTTCGGAGCTAATTCCTGGCAAGGGTGCTGATCGGCAAAACTTACCGCCGGCTTCGCTGCGCAGACCACCGGCCCCATCTCCCTCGGAAGGGGACCGAACAAAACGTGATGACATGAGGTCACAGAAATTCCCGAACCGGCATCGAGAGTCCCTACCCAAGGTGCAGGCATCGAAGCGTTGTCCTCTCAAGGGATGGGAAGGCACAGGCCAAAAAACGACAAGTGACATCTCCAAAGGGCGATCAGAGCCCTGCAGAGACGTCCAGAGTTCAGAGATGTTCAGAGTGCCCCTATGGCCTGTGGAGGGTTGGGTTTCAGACGCCACTTGTAGCGAGAAACTTATCTTGGAAAATCTTCTTCTCTCAAGGCGCAGGAAGGACACAGAAGTGCGCTTTATGCCCACTGCACGGCTTAGCTCCGGATCGAGACTGTGCGTCGCGAAAGCAAACTGAGTATTGGCATTAACCTTAATCAAACAATTCCGCTGTTTAGCTGAACGAATGAGCTGTCCGCACCTCACTCAACGCAGCACACAGCATTCGGCATGTTTAAAAAATCGTACCAGCCCGAGCAAGCTGTTCGAGAACCCAAGAAGCTGGCCTGCTGCAGCCATCGGCCATGAAGACTTCGCAAATGCTCAGAGCCTCGCATGTCATGATCTGAGCAGCGAACACCGGAATTCAAGGCATGCAAAAAACGTAGTGATTTAGTCTCTTTCGGGCAAAGTCTTGTGCTGCTTGCTCGCCACGTGTCCCGCACCGGCTGTGGCCAGCTGAAGCAGAACGAAGGCCAAAAGATGTGACCTTTCGCTACAGTCAGTCTGGTCTGCCAACGGCCACTCACAAAGCTGCTGTAGAGCCACGAAGGCCCTGCACGTGTAGCACGCCGCACCAACCACATGCAGTGCTAAGTGGCTAAAGCCGTACCGATGCCTGTTGAACTGAGACTGGTCTGAGCATGTACGCGAAGGTCTCTGCCACTCTTTCTGGACATTGTTGCAGGCTAGGCTATGAGAGCTTGATAGGTCTAACGTCTGTGCGCGGCTGGGGAATTGCTTGCTTGCTTCTTCTGGAACATACCTAGAAACTACTTTGACGCTTGACAGCCACAGAGATCAAGAGTCAGCACCTGCTTGTGCTCTGTCCACTAAAACTCTCACTTGGACACTACAGGCACGACATGGCAGCGGTCGAACTCCGGCTCGTGGCTTCTTTTCGACCCTGCCGTAGGTCAAGGCCAGCAGAGCACAGCCATCAACGCAAAGAGCACACTCACCTCGACGGCTTTGCTCAACAGTATTCCAGGGTCAACCCCCTGATATTGAAGCAGAAGCAACTGCAATCATGACCAAACGGACCTATCTTCCTTTGCCCTATCCGCAGCTGAGCCCGAGTTGTTCTTGTCTGTGTAATCAGTAGCACGTCGACTGATCCAATTGCAACGTCCGCAATCCTGGGCTGCGTGCCCCAGCCGACGACGCAGCACTCCTGAAAGACCGAGCAAAGGATCACACGATGCGTGCGTCGAGTGCATCATCATGGACTTGAATCTGCTATCTGTTTGCCCGCGGCCTGCATCTTAACACCCCCGAGCCGCATGAGCTGCACAAAACTTCGTTTGGATAATTTTGTTTAAATGCCAAATCTGCCATCACATTAATACTCTTCCAATCGCCCACCTGTGGTGAGCGAAGTCATCCCGCAGTGGCTCCCCCTCCGTCTCTTTCCGTGGGAAAATCATGAGCTCCTGCGACATTTGAAAAGGCTCGCCGGTCGAACTCTTCCCCCCAGTGAATTCTGGCAAGTGTCAGTCATGTATTCGCCTGCGGGAACTCCGCATCATCAGATGACTCGTGAGGCTCGCCTCCGACGCGCATGACCTGATCGGAAAAACTTTAGGACACCTCTCTGCGAGTGTGATGTACCAGCTCATCAGTGGTGTTCCGGGTGCCCTGCTACATACGTGGTTGCCGTGCTTGCAGCAAACCGCAGATCATCCTGGCCCATTCGGAGTAAGAACCAGGCGACGAGAATAAGTCCAAGCCAAACTATCAGCTTCAATCTCTTGAGTCTAGCTTGTGCGACTCAAGAGCTTCGGACGAATCGAGTAGACTTAGACTCGATGCGTTCCTGATCGTTCCTGCAAGCTCGAGACGGTCTGCCGAAAGGTCGGTGCCAGTCTGATGTTTGATGGCTGTAACCTTGGGCTTTCCTCGACGTTCAAGAAAAGCCGGCCGATCGCTACAGGCGGTTCTGTGATGCTGGCTTCGATTCGGTCTTGCTGGCCTCATTCGAGCATGCGTCGGACAGGCTGCATCCGACAAGCAGGCGAAAATGGCATGAGAACGACAGTAAATGCTGGAGCCCTTGCAAGTTTTTGTTTTGCGAGGGTGCTATGCAACGGTGTTACTTAGCCCTTTGGCACACATGCACACTCCCCGCAAACGACTGCACATAAACACTTCCTATACGGTATACAAGTCGCGGGTTCAATCGGGGTGAGGAACAAAAAAATTATCAGAAAAACAAGAAAATAAATCAAAAAATAAATAAAATCTTGTCGTTGGCTAGGCTGGGCTGGGCTGGACTGGGCTGGGCTGCTGGGCTTTGCCGGGCTGGGCGGCTGGGGCTGCCCTGACGACTCGGAGTGTTGAGTTTAAGGGCATCGACGATGTCGGGATCTGTTTTTAGGGTTTCAAGTTTGCGGTTTAGGTTGTTTTGGAGCTTCTTTTTGCGGGCTCAATGGCATTCCCGCTAGTCATCGTCGTAGTAGTCGTCGTCGTCGTCGTGGTGGTGGTGGTGGTGGTGGTGGTCGTGGGGGTGGTGGTGGTCGTGGTCGTGGTCGTGGTCGTGGTCGTGGTCGTGGTCGTGGTAGTAGTAGTGGTAGTAGTAGTAGTAGTAGTAGTAGTAGTGGTAGTAGTAGTAGTAGTAGTAGTAGTG